CGGTATAGTTTATGCGTTTATGCGTTATTTAGGTTGACAAAATCGTACACAGGAAGGTGGACCAGTCAGTATACGGTGTGTCCTATTAATTAGGTAGCTCATCATTTTTAAAGACAGAAAAATACGGCTAGCTTTTAATACTGCTTTGTTCTTGGGATTTAGAGCGTTACTTTTATTACCCGTGTGTCTCAGTCATTTGAAGGAAAGTTGATAACTGGTTTTTGGTGTAATTTTTCATGCAGAATTCAGTGGCACTCTCATTATATAAGTGAAAAAATGTTGTCTAAATTTCCCATATTTTTTCAAATGGGACATTATGTATACCTATTATTTTTAATTTCTTGAGATTAGTTTGGCTTTTTAAAAAATGTGTGATTTTAAAAATAATCTAAATATTGAGAATTTTCACTACTTTACTGATATTTTATAGAAGCTGTGATATAACTCAGCAAATGTCAAAAACATGAGAATAACGTAAGTATTTCAAAAATATACCTCCCATATAAAATTACTTAAAACTAATTCTGCAATATACTTAGGAAATTTAATACTATATAATAATATTATTTAAATTTGCGTATAAAACGAAATAGTAACTCTATTCTATAAATTTTAACGTTAGAATATTTAGATAAGTTGTTTCATATTTGTTATTACTATTTTTAAAGATGATTTTCATAATGAACGTCTTGAATTTATCCGTAGAAATGACTTCTTAGAGGGAAAGGTTTTTGTTAATATTAGCTAATCAGATTTGTATCAAAGAAGTTTGGATAATTTATTTAGTTATTTATAAAAATAAAGAAGATGGACTACTTAAAAAGACGAAAAGACTATATTAGTTGACTATGTGCAGTTTTATGACTCCGTTTTTAAGGGACTTACATTCGAAAAAGAAATATTTGGAGAATCTTTATATTTAAATATCGGTGTGTAAAGTTTGAACCTTTCCCTTTGGCGAGGATTCATATTTTAGGGTTAATCTCTCTTTTTCATAAAATTGATATTATTAAAGAATTGGGCATCAAACAAATATTTTTTTATAAAAATATATATTCGATAAAAAACCAAGTAGCTAACCAAACAAATGCTCTTCTAATATTTTGCTTTTCTAACGGTTATTCGTTCTTAAATCACGAGTATCCCAACTTAATTTGGGGACGGAACAACCGAAATCAGTTACAGTAAAACTGATTAATGCACTGAGTTTTGAACTTTTTTTCCAACATGAAACAGAAAGAAAAATCTTCGGAAATATACTATTTACATTTTAGGAGGAAATTTCGCAGACTTGCTTCCAAAATCGGTTACATTAAATGAAAACTATTCAAAATTATTTATTATATATATTATTAGATAGGATATATGGACGACGATAAGAAAAATTGTCACAAAAGAAATTTAGGATACGTGAATCTGTAACACATTTTCTTAGCACAAAATACATATGTAACGATATTAACGCATTAAAAAATATTTTTATTTATCGTAAAGTGGAAATTACATATTTCAATCCTTATTTATGATTTCAAGTATTTACTTTATATGATGCCGTTTTGGTGAAAATTGATAATTATTAATAAGTAAAAGTGAAACAGAAAACGAGACAGTAAACATAAACAGACTGCCTTGCCACCATTTTGGATATGCAATTACTCTTGCGGTTTTAACAACTTAAAAGGTACTGAAAAATTGCCAATGACATATGAACCCTGCGATGTCTACATGAAAATGTCAAAAATCCTTTGACACATTTGACAGTGATTGAAAGTTAGTAACAGTCTCACATCGGTTTGAAATTTGATCTGAGGATTATTGACACTTCACGTGAGGGCATATGCTATGTAGTTCAATATTTTATCACATATTCCGTCATAGGCATCCAGAACTATCACACGATGTGACGATAACGTCTTGTGTCAATAATTTAAAAACCAGCCCAAGAATTGAGTTTGAATGAGAAACAAGGAACGCCATTTTCCATCAAAAATGAGCATGGTTATTTTCAAACTACATTCGAATGTTATAAAATATCATTTGGGAATTATATGTGTGCATTAGGCTATTTCAACAGACTTTGCTGCAAACCTTAGCCAGTGCAACCAAAAACGTATTTATTAATTAATAAAAGCAGGGAGAAAGTAATTGCCTAAAGCAATAAACGAAAATAGCCCATAAAATACTCGACCGATTCAATTATCGCTCGGATGCAATTAATTTTAGTTTTCTTTGATTCGGGCAATGAATACTAAAGGTTTTTATTACGATATGGGCAATCAATTCGACTAAAACTATATTTTCGTCGCATCTGGAGCGAATAGAGCGTGATCTGCCTAATAGTTGATAAACATCCTCTCTATGAAAGCACCATCTAGTTCAATGGAATAATCCATAATCCAAAATTAAATTCGAACCTGATTTGAGATCCGCGTGTTTACTCTAGTGCTTTCCGGGCACTGCCAACAAATTTTACGTCCTGTTCGGAATAAATTAATTAATAGTTAATGGCAAACGGATGGAAGCAGGGCTTTTTGTTAGGTTCAACGCAGGTATTATCTTGAAAACGTTTGCCTGCATTCTGCTAAGCACCCGAGCAGTGTAAACCAAAAGTATGCAACATTTTCAAAAACTGAAAAGCATACTATGCAAATTTGATAAACACCGCTTTGGTCATGAGTTTGATGGGACAGGAGTAAATTAAGAATTTTTTTTGCAAAACAGCAGGAATATATTCTCCGGGTGAGTTGTGATGTGACTATCATTGAGAAATATCAAAACACACCAACACCAAACTCCAAAAGTTCGAATTGGGTCAACGCAGTGATAAACGGGATTTGCGACGGTATGGCACTTTTTCGATAATTGTTCTTTTCACAGTGTTTGCGCTAAAAATATTTTAAAAAGATTGAACAATTTTTAAGCTTCTTTTTACATTTTGTGAGTCTTAATTTTGACTTTGAATTTTTTTTTAATCCAGTTTATTAATTATTTATTTATAATTAAATATAGTTGATATTATACATCATTTCTAAAAATGATGCACACTGTAATCCATTTTCGCCATTTTTAGCGAATCGCACTGTATATGGTATCTATAGAAACATGCGGTTTTTGCAATAGTGTGCTACTTTTTTTAGATCTGATAGATGACACCAATCGAATTTTGCTAGCCCTATTAGTATTTTAAATACCTAGAGGGTATTTTGAAACCTATGTCTTTTCCATTTGATAACTTATCGAAAAGCTGAAATTTCTTATACCTTTTTCTTAAAATTTAGAGCCACTATCATAAGTATAAGGGTTCATATCAAAAGTTTATCGATCCCTTTTTTATTTTTAAAAATCAATATATTTATTGCTAATTATTTTTTATTGAGAATTGTGAAAGAATTTCTGGAATAAATACGCTTACATTATTTTTAAATACAGATAAATTTAGCGTTTTTAAGTAAAGGAAGATAGCACCGAAAATTCTATGCGCTTTAGAGGGTATGGCTCATCATTTAAAAACACCAATGCAAATTTCACAAGTTTTCCGTTACCTTCTATTTTGGAGTTCTCGACAAAAAAGTTGGAATTTTTTAAAAACATGGTCAACTATTACCTTAATACTTAATTACGATTTAGAAGACGTCGTTGTTATAAAAAAAAGGAACAGTGGACCGCAGATCACCCTCAAAATAACCAGTTCTTCAAATTTTTGGTATATTAATTAATTAATATTAGTAATTAAAAATGTAATAAATTCTTGAAAATACAAAATTTGAAGTTGATTTTGAGACTAGATTCCACTCATAAAAGATATAAGCCGATACGCTGTTAAAGAGCACAGACCCGAGTTCTCTAAAATGCAATAATAAAAAAAGGCCTGTGTATCTCGTAAACGAAAAGGTTTAGTGGAATTACATTTATGACATATTCCAATTTACAAAAATTGCGAAAAAATGCATCTTTCAAGAGCAGGGTGGAAATTAGCAGTCCGAAATCCATATAAGTTGTTGACGTTTAGAAAACTACCTTCCATTATTTGATTTGAACTGATGTGTTGAAATTTTAAGTTTTTGGTAATTTTTAAAACTAAAAAATCATATAACTTAGTTTTTTAATTTTGATTTGTAGACTTTAGCATTGTAAATAAAATACAAAAAAAAAATATGTTGCGGATTTAACAATTCTTAAATTTGTTAATCGAAATTTCAGCAACTAATAAACAACCGATCTGCTTTTTTAAATTTTCAAAAAAGGATATTTTTCGAAGAACCAAACGAAATTTGTATTTTTTTTTATTTAAACAAAAGAAGCAACAAAAGGGTTAAAGCTAAAATTTTTCCAGACATTGAAAAAGTCGATAGAGTATTTTTTTATCTCAACCTGCATAGAAAGAAGAGCGTATATTATGAATTCGAGAAATAAGCCTTTCATTTTTATGCCTAACTTCCTATGCAATTATTTTCAAAAAATAAAATGTATGTTTCCATTCATTTCTATAAAATATACGATATACAATGCAGTCCTTTTTTTTACGAAAATGCAAAACAAAAATTATAAATATACACCTTGATTATGGGCGTTTATTAATAATTAATTATATAATCTGTTCGGCGTCCCTTAGCCCAGATAAATACTTAAGTTAAGAAAAAAATTCTCTAGAAAAAAGTTGCAAGGGACACAAAACAAAGCAATAACAGTAATTTTGTTGCTAGCGCATCTAGTGAAATGAAAATGAAATGTTCTGAGCAATTGTTTTTTGTATTGTTTTTCTTTTGTAGTAATACAGACGTATTACTACAAAAGAAAGTATTTGTATTGTACTGTATTTTACTGTATGTAGCACATGTTACACTGATTATATATAAAAAGAAAGGCTTAAACTACAAAATCTCAGGACTTGTACTTCTGATGTTATTAGCATATGTGCTCCTGTTGGTTACACACGTCTTTCTTTTTATGTAATGAAAATGAAAAAAAACACGGAAGCCAAAACATAAAATCTAACTTACATCTTCAGCTTTGGTATGGAGCGTATCGTAAAGATCTTTCTCGCGATTTTGGTAGTTTTTGCTAACGATTGCACGTTTCCTTTTAACTTCACCCTTCATCGCGTAAACAAACGATCACTCGACGCTAGAACGAAAAAAATAAAGGGAGAAAAACTGTACACCGGTAGTCGCGAAACGGAGAAGACAACAGGATGGTCGTCTCGCACCAACGCGATTTTTTACAAGTAAACAATAAATCTTCTATGATTTGCTTATATAGTCGATTAAGCGTACAAGACTTACTCACATTAACATCGGAATTCCACACGCACGGACACCGCAGGAACTTTCGTTAACCACCCGATAACGATGCTTGCTTTTATTTCGACTACGGAACAGTTTTACAAGAAAGTCATTAAATTTTCCGCCAAGAATGTTCGGTCGAAGCGAAACTAGTTTTTGGGCTCGTCAAAGTAGTCCAGAAAACATTTTTCGAAAATATTTATAATCGTTTAAAACTAATTCACTTGAAAAATAATTCTACGCGCATTTTGCGAATAACCAAGACAAACTGAATAGCCCGCGATTTTGGGAGAGCAAAAAGATTTGCTTTTTTTTCGTGTATTTTTTTTTAACAAAGAAACTATTCTCAATGGTCTTTAGACGGAGGTTATCGATCCACACCACAACTGATTAATTTAATTAAATTTGAAACTCGAGAAAAATAAAACACGAGTGGGGTCATGGCTGCAACTAAATTCATTTGCGCGTAGGTAACAGTATATTATGCAACAAGTGCGGTAAACGGCATTTGACACGAGCGGAGCGCAGCGGAGCGAGTGTTTAATAAATGAGTGATTGAAAAAGTTTACCGAACGTGTTGCATACTATATTTTTTCTACGGCCGTTAGTTTTTGGGTACATTTTCGTAAAACACGAATATATTCACTGACATGACCGTCGGAATTGACAAACTTCAAAATTCAAAGCGTGGGAAATATCTCCGAAAACATCCGATTGCTTCCAAATCGGGGCGGTAAAATCCCGGACATGCCCAGATTCATGGGACACGAAACTGATGTGGTACTCTAGATCGGTTTGTAATTAGGTATTTTACAAACGGGAGTCAAAAAATGGTTTTACCTCAATGAATATAGTAAAAGTACCTATGCAGGCCAAATTCTGTAGAAAAGAGCTCGACAATAAACAACACACTGTAAATGAGCAATGTAAAAGATGTAATGCAGGGTCGAACTAGGCCAAAAAAAGAATAACAACGGCACATCATTTCCTAACATAGAAAATTTTAACAAAATAAGTTTAAATGTATTATTTATGCCTATCTATCTTCACTTATATATTGCAAATATACAGTATAGAAATTAATTTATTAATTGATTTTAGTAGGGGCTATCTTCACCTAAATTAATTATAGTGGGCGTAACAATACAATTGAAAATATAAAAATTTTCTGCATTTTTGCAAATGTCCACGAGCGTTACGTTAAAACTTCTTTTTAGTAAAATTTATAACATAACACCAGCACTTTAAAGTAGAAGAAGAAGTTTGCTACCAAATCAAAAATTTTAGTTAGTAAAATCCTCAACCTCAATAAACCGAGCAATAAAACAGTACAGGGGGTGTTTATATTCAAATAGTTTGTGCTTTGTCACTGGTGTTGTCACAATCATTATTTGTCATGTTTAGACTATGGGTGGAAGAATTTAGACGACGGAATGGAGGAGAGTAACGAACCCATAAGAATGTATTATTTGAATATGTGCTTCAAGAGAATTGTTTTTCTAGTATACGAAGGTAAAATTTATATAACATTTATATTTTTATCTTTATTATTGGATAATTGCACATACTGTTTTTACGTATCTAAATTTTTAAAAACTGTTTGAAGGACACCAATCAAGGTTTACTGTAACATTAATTAACATAGCAAATAAAGAAATCCGCTTATAATGTATATCTTTCAATGCAATTTTTTTCTGTAGGTGTTCTAAGAAGGCAAGAGGGCCTGGAAGCTGACATTCCTTGATAATGGTTCACTAGACAGAAAGAAACGACGGGACAAAGGCAAAGTGAAAGTGATAGTGATGGTGATGCAGAGTGAAACGCGGGGGGTAGTATTTGCGATGTATCAGAATAATCACATTCCATCACACAAATCAATGAACAGAAATGAAAGTAAAATGGTCTATTTACTGGCAGTCGTGAAACACCCACAAAAGCGTATTGACTTAACTCACATTCAGCAATTACGTGTATTTAAATGAGACTTGATTTGGCACCCATATCATAGGAAAATTGTTCATCGAACTGCTTCTTGACTATACCGGTACCTAAGGAAAAACAATATCCATTTAGCACTGTGGCTTGAGGCAAGGTCGCGTACCAAATGCTTTGCTACATTCAGCAAAAAAATAAAGTCTGCTCATTTGATTACACTGAGAAGTCAACTTTTTGAAATTTGGGAAAAAAATTATTTTTCCAAATATCCCAGCAGACGGCGTAACAGTTTATGATAATGTTAGTTGTCACAGCACTTTAGCTAAAAAACTACCTATGAGCAACGAACGAAGGAACTGCAAGAAATGCTTAGCCAGTATGGCCTTTATCTTGAGAATACTTATTCAAGAAAGAACTAGTCGAAGTTTTAAGAAGCAAATCGTGTTTTAAAAGTTATTTGGGAGACGAGATCATAAAAATCCGGTGATATATCACTGCTATTTGAATCCTATAAAAATTATATGAACCGAATTGATTTAATTAAATTAGTTGCAGAGAATGTGTAAATAATGCACTTGAAGTGGAAAATAATATCCCTGGATGATAGTGATCACACATATTTAAACTTTTATGAAGACTAATTTAATAATTACAATACACAATACTGCATAAAATAAAAATATATTTTGTGTTTCAATTTCCTTATTACTACCCTGGACCGACGTGATTTATTGGACCGAAAATTAATACGATCAGATAAAAACCTTAATAGCTTTATTACAGCGATAACCATTTAGCGTGTGTCTATGAGCTCCATAGCATTGATACACAATAATATGGAAGGAGTCGTTTTCTCTACATATACAACAGACAAACATATACTTTTCGTTCGAACTTCTAAGGTATGCTTTTAGAACTTCTAAAAGCTCACTTTTTTCTAACGATTTCTGTTCCTTCAAGTATAAATTGATACTCTTTCCACTTTGTTAGATGCTGCTGTTGTTCTACGGGAGGAATCGTATGCTGCAGCCCCATGAGTTTCAAACCGTGTTTTGTCAAGCTAAGCGATTGAACGATTCTCAAAACGGTATTTTCTTATCGTCGTTGTATACTCATGCGGCTGGGACTCTATAAGCGCTTGTCTTTTGTCTGTTTTGAAATATTGGAAGCCCATTGTGGAGACAACTTTCCAAAGGCTAGTAATTTCGTAGCTTATTTGTGTTTCGTCATCATCAAGCCATTCCTTTAGAACTTCGTATTATATACCTCTTTACGCTGTTTTAATGGGCTTTCACACTATTCTTTTCGGCGAAGTCAATGGTATCTTAGCCCAAACTCATATTTCATTTACAGCCGCACTAGTTTTTTATTAAGAAGAGAATTATAAACATTTTTTTCAATTTTCTTCTGATCTTCTTTCTCTTATTCGCAATACATAATTTCTTCAGTTTAGTTAACTCTGAATCGGCAGTCTAACTGTCTCGTCATTTTATAGGTCTACTATGCTTATGGTCTCTTTCTTTTCACAGTATCTGCCGTTCTACAACGTTACAGCTGCCTTCTAGATTCGGACCTTGCTCTCATTGGTCGTTATGATAAATGCTGTAACTCCATTGAAACACTGCGTCCAGCTGTAGGGATGTCTGACCATCTCGTAAACATAACAATGTTTTTAAAATCAATAAAATTTTAAAAAATAAAAATTCTACAACATACGCATCCTTTCCAATTATTATTTTTTCGAATAATCATTTTAGCCAACCCGATAAAATCAATAAAAAAAACCTCAAATTTATTCACATTCACATTTTGTATTTTGTATGAGACAAGACAGTTTCCATCTTCCCGTTGAACGGTTAGATCCAACGGCATGTGTTGGAAATGTTTGAACAATCCATACCCTAAAAAGAGATAAAATCTCATATTTGCTCGGTACACAGGGTATGACTGACAAGGAAAAACTATTTAAAAAACACACAATTTTTAGCTTACTGGCTCAAGGACGTAGGAGCCAGTTTGCCTTGTATCATTGATCCGCAGAAAGATTTTGAAAATATTGCATTTTATCGATTGAATAACCTTTAAGTTGTATCTTACGTTACTCTGTTTTATGGCTTGCTTAGTTTTTAAAATAGAGGACGATTTTGGAAATTTGAAGATTTGGAGCACCCCTCGTAGAATTCATTGGTGTGGTCAGTTTTTTTTCTAAATGGTTTCGTCTTTTTGAAAATACCAAACTTCGATATTTCATAGTTTTGCAGCGTCGTTGACTAATTTAATCTACCAAAAGAAATTAATCGTTTTTGTTGTTTTTTATTAAACGCCTTTCACAGCTAGGAAATTGACACTCGTGAAGTTCTTATTATACTCCTGTGAATGACATAATGAAATAATTGATGCATACAGCCGAGATACATACAGATTTTTCTAACGGACTCTGCTTATTTAAAAATGCAATAAATTACTAAAAATTATAATTTTGAGGATGTTTTTTTAAATAATATTTAATAGTAACATATATAGACTGTGTCTCATTTTGGTCGCGACTGAATGTAGATAGAGCCTTCCTTTTTTGCAAATCTTTGGTACTTTTTTATAAAACGAAAGATGACGTTAGCAAAATTTCATGATTAAAATACATGAAATGTGAAGTTTTGGAGCACTCCCCGTATCTCGAATATCCGATGAAATGTCGACAAGGTGAAAAGCCCATCCGATATAGTTTTTTACGTAGAATTCAGTTAAGTAGTAAGTTTTTACTAAATGGTTTCGTTTGAGCCAATTTGATGCCGCTTAGTATGAGCTTCTCAAAAATGTATAACCATATGGGGTTATTTGTATAAATGACCTTATGAAAATTATTTGTTTTTAATTTTCATTAAGGTATTTGCGGTAGGCCTTGGAAAAATTATTTATTAAATATCTAAAATTACTAAAATCTAAGTTACGTTATTTAGAGAATCTAGAAATTAAAACAAATGTTTTAAAGGAATATTCAAATTATTAAATATTAGCATTTTATGCAAATCGTTACACAAAAGAATACCAAAAGTTTGCGAAAACGCAAGACTATCTTCACATGCAACGGATATGCCCCTTAGTCGCGACCAAAACGCGGGTTCATATGTTATTATTATTATGTATTATTTCAAAAAAAAACAACATCCTCAAAATCATAATTTTTAATAACGTACTCCATTTTATCTATCTAACGGTCATGTCAGTG